TTGTCAGGTACACCTGAGAGGACGCTTGGACTAGCTGTCAGGTGCTATAGATTTTGCAACTCAGAGGAGAGACAGGGTCATGGAGGTAAGAGATAAGCCTCAGATTCTTATCCTCTGCTGTGCTCTTCCTGTAAACTGCTGGGCCTTCTCTTGGCACTGTCTTTTCGGAGGAGATAGGAGGAGGGGGTACTTTCCATGGTTTACCTTGTGTATGTCTCACCACAATCTAATGATGTAATGATTACTACCCCCGCTTTAGAAGGAAGAAAAGTGGGGGGGGGGGCTGGGAGGTTTATAGCTCTCCCAAGATCACACAGCCAGTGAGTGGAAGATCAGAGAGTCAAATCCAAGTCTGACTCTAGCTGCATGAGCTTCACAGGTGCACATGAATACAGGTGCAGAGGTTCACCTGGGTCAGGAGGGCACGCACCTGCTGCTGAGAGGCCAGGTACCGGCTTAGATAGGATGGGGGAGGAGAGATAGAGGGATCCTGTGCTAAAGCTGGAGGCCATGTGACTTGTGGGGGATACAGGGCCTTGAGGAGCCAAGGGAGGGAACAGAAAATGCACAGGACAACAAGACTAGTGTACAGGAAAACGTCGTGCCTGTTAGTGTAGCAATAGTCACTTTTATTATTATTTTGTGCCTCTCCCCCAAACTTCACTTTTTCCATTACCCTCAAACTTCATCTTTCTCCCTGAACCTGGGAGCATGAGAAGCAGAGAAAACAACAGACTCGCGTTGGAGAGGTCACGTGGCTTCTAGAGCCAGGCCCTCATCAGGCTTCCTGCGGAAGGGCACCTGAGGCCACCTGTAGCCCAGCCAGAGCAAGCCCCCGACAATCCAAATGGCTGGGGAATGTCCACTGAGTCACCCCCTCAATTAGGCACCAAGACAGTCACAGAAGTGGCATTTCCCTGGCATGTCTCAGCTGTGGTCGTCTTGCTGTTTTTGGAAAGGTGTTGCCCCTCAGAATTTTGGAAAGGGGGCCTCTGTCTTAGCTCAGGGGGCATGGCCACTGCACAGATGCAGATTCTTCAGGACTGTGGGGCTAAGGAGGCTGACCAGGAGGGACTGTGATGGGCCACACAGCTGGTGCTGGCCTGGCAAGCCACACGGCCCTTCCTCCTGAGTCAATGGTCTTGGATTCAGTTGTTAGGGAGGCAGAAGGGGTAGCTCCTCCTACCAGAGCAGCGGTCCTGCAAGTTTAGCAGGCATCAGAATCACCTGGAAAGGCTTGTTAAACCACAGATTGCTGGACCCTAGCCCAAGGGTTTTGGTTCAGTAGTTCTCGGGGAGGCCTGAGAATGTGTGTTTCCTATATGATCCCAGGGGTTGCTGGGGTTGCTAGTCTAGGATCACTCTCGGAAACCCTCTACCCTGGGAAACTGGATATTTGCATACTCACTGTTTTTCTTCCTGTCTGAGGGCTGGATGTAGGGGCAAGACTGAAGTGCAGGACTCTTGAGTTCTTATTTCTATTAACTTGTTCTATGGCTGCAATTCTAAAGGTGGTTTTGGTTGTAAGTAATGGAAAATAGCTTGTTAGTTTAAGTAAGACAGGGAATTTGTTGGGGTTTGGGAATCTCTCTGAATTCAATGAAGAGTCAAACATTTGGGGCTTGGGGAGGGCAGGGCACCCTGGACCCCTCAGCACCCGAAATTCACACGTCTGCTATCCAGGGCACACTCCAGTCAGGTAATCTGGCCACCACTGCGGCTAGTCCACCCTATTAAAATTCCAAATGCTAATGAGAGGTAATCTGATTGGCCCACAAGGGGCTCTTACTTAGCCAATAAGTTCCATCCAGTGAGTGCTGCAGTGGATGCAGCAGAGGGGCCAGAAAACAGGCAGGGCTGCCCCAGTCCTTCTCCCCTTGAAGTGAGCAGCTGTGATCCCACAACAAGCCTATAAATGTGACCACGACTAAGATTCTTCTCCTCACTGGGCCTCGGTGTCTCTGTTTGTAGAATGAGGGCTTAGGGTCAGAACCTCATGACTGGATCAGTGTTTCTTTCTCAGAATGGGCCAGCGGCAGAGCTGCCGGGGTGCTTGAAAAAAGGCTCGTGTGCTCCACAGCGTGCTGTTGAATGGTCCACGATAGGTGTCCCGAAACAAGGCAAAGTGAAACAAAGCAAAGTGCCCTGATTTGCGGTGTTTGCCCAGTTTCCGGGCTGTAAATAAATACCTGACTCTGGCCAATTTCAAGCTAGTAAAGTGAAATTAGTGTGCAAGGAGCTGGGAAGAGAGGCACACTGGGCTACAGACCACCACCAGGCTGCAGGTTCAGAACCCTGAGGGAGGCCTGGGAACCTGCATTTCACCTCTCACAGGTGATTCGGGTGGATGATACAATTTTTGGACCCCTATCCCTAGAGCTCTCTGAGGGCCTTGCCAGTCCTTATATTGCCTCATTCTAAATATATTATTAGTTCTCACACTGGCCCTGGGATTCAGGGAAGATTTTCCCATATGAGAACAATACACAGGGAGGCCTGTAGAGATGGATGGGCTCAGCTGAGTCCACACTCCATCCACACCAGCCCGCGTGGCACCTCTGCCTGTCCCCCGTGAGTGCCCCGTCCCGCCATTGCTCCTGGAGGCAGGGCAGCAGCATCTCAGTGTGCATGTCTCAGGGATGCAGGGGTGGGGGGACTGCAGGACATGAGGTCACTGCTGTGGACACTGGGATCCTGGCCCATCTCTTATCTCTCTGGCTAGACTGGCTTTTCAGCTGCTATCGTCACGAACTTCTGATCTGATATCTCCATCTCCGGAATGGAGAGCCTGCCCAGTGTCCAGCTATTTTTGTGCAGGGTCCTCACCTTGATAACCTTCTCTGAGCAGGTCGAGGACAGAGTGGAGGACGCCATTCCTTACTGGTGATGTGCTGAGGCAGAGAGAAGCACCTCAGAGCCCAGGGGAGGCCCTCCAACAGACAGCAGGGCTGGAGCAGAAGCTGGGAAGGTGGTGGCTGGACAGGGAAAAGTCCAAACTACTGATGGGAACATAAGTTCTGTTTTTAGGGGCTTTTCAGAAGAAACCATCTGCACTGTGAAGTTAGGTTGTAGGTTTAGTTTTAAGCTGGAATGATCTCTGACTTCCTCTTCTGCTCTAAAGTGGTGGTTCTCAATGTGTATCCCACCCCAGACCAGTAGCATCTGCATCACCTGGGACCTTTGCAGAAATGCGAATTCTCAGACTCAGAAAGCTCCCCCCTCTGGGAGCCATTGCCTGACAACAGGATTCCAGGTCGATTTGAGGGGGTTAAGCAGTCCTCTCTCAAGGAACCCTTTTTCAGTTCAAATGCACCACAGGCCTGCCAGGCTGAGCTGTCCTTTGACCACAGAGCAGATGGGCTGTGACAGCAGAAATGATTGAGGAAATGAGATGAGGAGCAGGGTGAGAGACCACAAGAGACACGAGACACTGCTCTGGATAGGACAGGCCTTTCCGGGTGCTGTCTAGTGGGGCAGCCAGTTGGAGATGTCCTGCTCAGTGTGGACACTTCAAGCAGTAGAGAAATTCGTGGACTGTGAAACTCTTCTCCTCTCTTCTGAAGTTCTCGTAACTCTCCTGGCTCTGGATTCTGCTGCTTGTCCTCCACCATGGCCCTGCCCCGTCTTCTCCTCCCCTCTACCTCCCATCAGAGCCTTGCCTTCTCGGAAGCGTGCTTCCAGCCCATGCTCCACACTACCCAAGGCTTTGGCTTTCATGCCCTACCTTCTTCTATGGGCTCTGTCCAGCCTCATCTGATCTTGGAGGCCAGAACCCTCCTTGGCTACCCCCTGGACGGTGCCCAGAGTCTCCGAGGAGCCCACTACATGATCCCTTCCAAAAAGTATATGTGCGCCTTTTCCTATAGACCATGTAGGGTCTGCTGGGCCAACTGAATTTGGAGCTGAGGCTGGGGGTTGACTATTGACCTAGCTGGCTGAACTGTAAATCTGAAATCTTCCCTTCATTTAGGTCTGAACTTGTCCTTCCTGAAGCGACTTGGGAAGCTGGTGGAGCTGGGGTGAGCTGTTGGGAGGGCAGAAGAACATGGAGTCGGGCTGCATGTTTTCCTGGTGCAGCTCTGAACCGTTCCTGAGGCTTCTCCATGGGCAGAAGGTGCTGCCTGTGGTTGTGCCTCTGAGGGTGTGTGTGCCTGTCTCTGCTTGTGAACAATCTCCCTGTTTGTTCAAGAGGGTTCCCACGCAAATATGCGTGCAGTCTCCCTTCATTTCACAAGCTGCGAGTCCACAGGCAGGCAAGTGAAGCCATCCACCCTCCATTTTCCTTGTCTGTACAACGGGAATAACTTCTACACACAGTTACTGCGGTGGTGAACGGTGCACATAAGCCCCTCAGCACAGCTCCTGGTGCTCCTGTGGGAGGCTGTTATCACTAGACCCCTTGTGCCAGTTAACTTCGCCTCCCGGTACATTGGTTCCCTCATGTGTAAATTGAGGATAATACCAGAACCCAGTGCTGCGAGGGTTAGGGGAGCTGATATTTGTACTTAGTACTGTGCAATAAATATTAGTCATTATAATCCTTATTATCTTTCTGTGTATGTATGTGTCTGGGTGAGAATCTCTGTGTTGTGAATGCCTCTGCTCATCTGTGTATGTACAGATGTGTATATGTGTGTATCTATGTTTATATGACCAGGCAGCCTCCTGTCTCTGGGTGGAGTTTGCTGTTGGCCCAAGCCTGGGCTCTGTGAGCCAGCCAGGGCTGGCGCCGGGGATGGAATTTCCATTAAGAATTAAGCAGGACAGCACTGGGAAGCCGGGCAGGCCAAGGGGAGGGGGTCGAGGGGGACGATGCTCCAACTCTGATCTCCCTCAAGTGGCCTCAGTTCTGGACTGTCTCAGAGAATGCCTCTGCCATCTTTGCCTTGAGTTTCAGGCCTTGCCGGGGCCATGGCCCAGAAGGATGGGCAAGCAGAGAGGAGTTGCCCCCATGGGCCTCAGTAGGGAAACCCGGAGTCACAGCAGCCAAGACCGGAGCCATGAGGCGGCCTCCGGAGAATGGAGAGGCAGCCAGCGAGGGTATAGGCGGCGGGGGCCTTTGGGGCCGGCAGGAGCCGAGGAGGCTGGGCTGTGCAGTAGGTATCTGGGAAAGTGGACGTGCGGATGTGTGTGTGCACGCATGTGTTTGCAAGTGCGGGTGCACACCATTGGGGTGTGCAGGCGGGGGGTATTCCTACTAAGTGTCCTAAGGGAACATTTAGCAAACCAAATCTGTTTCTCTCTTGCCCCGAGACCTAGACATTGAATTTGGTCCTGGAAATAAAAGACTTCTTAGACTTTTTGCTAATACTTATCCTCATTCCATTTCTAGCACACTAAAAAATATTTTTGCTTTCTAGGTACTTTTATATTCCTGATCTCATCTCATACTTTCAACAACACATGTGCTATTATGATTGCCAATGTAAATATGGGAAAACTGAGCTTCAAGGATAGTGACTTGTTCAAGGATACACAGCTAGAAAGCAGTAAAGGCAGGAGGCAAAGTCGGGTCTGTTTAAGGACAAGGTCCAGACTATTTTATTACACTACCTGACCTACCGGAAACATACTCAGAGAAAACATTCTGCCAACTCCGGTGTAGCTCCAGGTGGGTGGCTGGGGCCCAAACTCTGCCCCAGGCTCTGAGACAGCCTTTGTTGAGATAGAAACTGAAGCTACACTCAGGGGGCTGGGGGATAGAATCAGGCTGTCCCTGGATGGATGGAGGCTTGAGTCGACAGCTGGCCTGTCTGGGGGAAATGACTTGGACACCCACTGAGACTGGGCTCCCCAGAGAGCTGGGGAGTTAATGCCAGGAGCTGCCATGTGTCCAGGCCAGAGAGCAATGGCCATTTTCAGCCAGGGCCTAACAAAGAGAGCAGGGAAGAGAAGGCTGAGATGGGATCTTGGGGTGGTCGTTGTGCGTGGAGATGGACCTGGCCTCCCTCTCCCTGAACACCTGGTGCAGGCACATTAACATAGTTTGCACACGAGGGATTTAGGTTAGACGCCAAGGAGAACTTCCTGCCAATGAGAGGATTCAAATTTGGGGAAAAGGCCCACAGGAGGCTAGGGGCTGCCTTTCCTCAGTGATCCTTTAAAGTGCATGGAGGCCCTCCAGGGTCCCCCCTTCATTCTTGGCAGGGTGGAAGGAGTTGGATAGAATGACCTTGAAACTTCTTTCCAGTTCAAGAATGCAACATTCCTGAGCTTTTGGGTAGGAATCAGCCTTTTCTCTAGCTTTAGCCATGGGACACAGAGAAACCCAGAGTGGAAGTTTGATGTGCCCCAAGTTAGACGGCGTCTCTGCCATTTTTGGTAGGTTTGTAATCTGGAGGTCCATGATCTTATGAGGGGCTTCGGTTCCAAAGGGAAGCACCTGTGGTGAATAAACCAAGTCGCATTCCAGGCATTTGGGGGCTGCTCAAAGCTTGGCGGCTCCCTCCGAAGAGCGTGTGAACCGCACCCAAACCCCTCCTTATTTTGTTACAGCTCCAACGGAACAGATCGCGCCGCGTTCCCTTCCCCTCTCCAGATGCTGGCATGAGGGGTGCATGTGGGTCACCTTCGCCTGACCGGCTCTGAGGCTCCGGGGTGCTTGCCCGCGGTGACTGCCGCCCAGCACGGGGTGAGCCAGGTCTCTAATTAGACTTGACTGCGTCCCCATTCCAGCTCTCCCCACAGAGCGCGACGTTCCACTGCCAGGGGCACCAAAATAGCCTTGCAGCAGGGCTGAGACTCCAGGCAGCGGAGGCTGACGCGGGACGGGACAGAAGCTTGGCTGGGAGTGCGCTGTTGTAGAAGGTCCTGCCACGGCCCCAGGGCGCCTGCGGGGGCAGCGCGGGGCGGAGGCGCGGATCGGCGGGAGGTTGCTCAGGCCGGGCCAGGCCAGCGCAGCCACTTGCGCGCAGCCTCTGGAGCCCCAGCTGCGCCCCGCCGCCTCTGGCTGCCGCAGGCACCCGCTCTAGCCCGCCAGCTTCTTCAGAGTAAGTAGACACACAGCTGGCTGGATTCAAGGGCCGGTGCTGGACCTGCCAGCCTCGTTGGGGACAGAACATGTTTTTGACTATTTGGATAGTAGGTCTCCGCGTGTCAGTGTGAGTGCCAGCGGGTGGGAGTGTATCTCGGCCGATGTGTTAGTATGTGGGACTTTCTAGCATGTGCCTCATGGTTGAGTGTGGGTGGGAGAGCTGTCGGTGTGTATGGGGACTTACGTGTAGGTGGGGCTGGTGTGTGCCCACAGGTGGCGTGTATGTCTGTGCTCCAGGCAGCCCTGTGGGGACCATGTCTGCTCCCCTGGAAGTGCATTCACCTGTGCGCTGGGAAGGCTCCCGGTGGGCTGGGTGAGCGCACGTGCAGGTGGATAGATGTGTGTGGGCAGGCTGATGACGGCAGCAGCTTTGGAGTAAGGTGTGATATCTGAACTCAGACTTTCCAGGGTGACCTGACTTGTCCCCACCTGGGGTGTCTCCTCTGTGGGTCATGTGGCTTTGGTTTCTCGGGACTAAGCTGGACAAGAGCTCAGAGCCTTCACCCAACATGGAATGACCCCAACCGGCCAGAGTGGGGAGACGGCTTGGGGGGACCCCGCTGCCGCACCAGAAGAGACAGAAGGAAGATGAGAGGGGCGAGCAGACCACGGCTCTGCCCGCCCACAAACCCCACAGAGCACCCACACACTCACAGCTGCCCAGGTGTACACACTCCTGCCCACACATCATTCTTGCACTTCCTCTCAGGACATCCATGCAAACACTCACGCACTTCCAGCGTGTGTAACTGTGGGCAATGACACATATGCAGTGGGTACCTACATGTGTGTAAAGTAGGCATATGTGCGAACACAGCCTGGTTTGACCCAGTTGCAGCCTCCAGACCCCTCTTCAGGTCCCCTTTAGCCTACATATGGCACCCTGGACAATGAGTCCATGAAACTGGCCTTGGTAGGGAATATCTGAAGTCAGGGGCTTTGGCTGGGAGTCAGGGCAGATGGGGACACAGCACCACTGGGGTGTCCTGTTGGGTCTGGAACTGAGGCTGCCCCTGGAGCCTGTGGCCTCAGGCTCTGGGCCTCAGAAGCAGCTTTGGCCCCCTTACAAGTGAAAAGGCCAGTCTTGTAGGACTGAGGTGGAGCTCACACCTGTAATTTGCTCCAGGCTCTAGGTTATACTCTGGGTTCCCCTGCAGCAGAAAAGCGTGGTCCTCCTGTGTGTGGACTGGGGTCTGAGCAGCCACGTAAGTGGTGGGTTGAGCTGGGCTGATTCCATTTCTTCTTCAGTTTTAATCAACACTATTTTGTGTTTCCCATCTACAGGTGAGGCTGCAAGATCTGGCTTTTCCTTGGATCCTCTGCCCTCTCCCCCTTTTTCCTTGGTAAAATCTTGTTCTCCCTGCCCTCCTTCCCCTGGACTACTGGGGACACACTAAACAGTGCTTGGAAGAGTAGGTGCTCTCAAATATCAGCTGGTTCTGGTTGTTATTATTATTGCTTCTAGACCTCTCCCACCCTGGCCATTCTCCTCTGGACAGGTTTAGTGAGGTGCCCAGACTAACCGTGCTCCTTCAGTTGGGATCTTAGAAAGATGACATTGGCTTTGTCTTCCTTAGTGTTTACAGGTTGGTTGGAGAAGTGCCTGAGCTCTCATTCCATCAACTCCTCTCATGCAGGGGAGCAGATGGGCTTCAGCAATTTCCTGAGAGAGTGCTGGAATCTACCTTCACCTGGCCTGGTCCCCAGGCTGACCCTTGGCCATGGTTAAATGTGGGTAGGCGTGGTCAGCCTGGCAGCATTCTTGCAGAGACTAGAGGGGGAGGGAAGGAGGGAAGAATGCCCCAGCCTTCTCCTTCGTGGGGGTCCCTAACAACTTCAGAACACAGAAAGTCTCTGGAAGACTGGAAGAATCACAGTGACTCAGTCTCAGGCTGCTTCTCCATTCTTTATGAATCAAATAATATATCTGCCAATGAGAAGAATTTCAGACCAAAACAAGAAATTATAGAGCATCATGGGCAGCCCCACTAAATTAATTTAATTTCAGTTTAAAGAAGTCAGACAACAGAATAATGATAATAATTACAACCACCATTTGTTAAATCTAATATATGCTTTATTTTATTATTTCTCACAACAACTGTGTTAAGTTAGTTGTCTCCTCCATCTTCCACGCACCCTCCCTTTTTTCTGACAATGAAATTAAGGCTTAGAAAGTTCAAGGGATTTCTACAGGTTTGTGTGACTCCTAAGTTGTTGACATAATTTGTGTGTTTTCCTTCTTACTCTGGCTGCTAGGAAGCTTAGTCTATCATATAGCTCCATTCTAGTAACTATGTTCATTGGAACCCTAGCTTTGACTTCTAATTTTTGCTTAAACAACTTTATAGTATATACATCTTTAACTGTAAACTCCCACATTCTTTGCAGAGAAAGATTACAATAGAATAAGTAAATGAGCAACCAGCAACTGAGCATCTTCTTGGTCTCTGAGGATGAGAACCATATTGCATAGGTTTTTTTGGAACATCTCCAATTTTAAATACTTTATCTGGTTTTTAAAGCGTATGTCTCAGTTTTGGCTTTTGTATCTTTGGACTCTGATTTGAAACCATGTCTTGGAGCTTTTCTTCCTCCAGCTCTGGGAGATAATGCCCATCTCTGTGCTGGCTCAGACAATGGGGACTGTTGAGAATGAATTGGGCCATTGATAAATGGCTCCTACTCTGAGTGCTTCTGCTGCCAGCTCTTCCCTGTCTCAAAAGCATGAGTGTCTGAAGGAGTTTGGGTGCCTGAAGGAGTTTGACCCCTGCCTTAGGCCTGGCCCTGTCCCCATGGCCACCCCTTCCTATGTGACCTTGCTGAGGCCCTGGGCTCTGCTGGGAGGTCTGTATCTCTTGAACTTCAGCTCTGCCTTCCCCCGGGCCATGTGGTGTCTGACCAGGGCTGGCCCTTCTGGACAAGGAGTGTGGGCTTTGAAATGTGGAGGGACACTTGAGGGGGTTATTCTGCCCCCTCCCCTGGATCTGCGAGGCCATAGGCTAGTACTCACTCCTTCCTTCTTCCTCACAAGGGTGTCTTGAGTCTGCCAAGCAACTAGGG